CACAAATTAAAGGTAACACTCGCATAATTGGTGTGGCAAACCTAGTAGCCATTTAATTTGCAAGGATACATGATAGAAGGTACTCATTTTAAGACCATAATACTATGCTAAAACACTAAAATTTAAGCGAATACACTATTAGCCTGATTATTAATGGTGTGTTTGCTATAGGTATATAGCCACACAATGTTGATTAGGACATTTGAAAAAATGATAAGTTTTCCTGCAAACTCTTTAATACGTAGTAATAGATTAAATAATTTGAACTTTAATAATGGTCTCTACAACAAATGATATTTTTGAAATACGTCTCAAGACAAATGCATATGAAAATGTTTTTTTTTTGGGTGTTTAGCTTAGAGAGCTATATGGGCAGGGAACCAAGATGGAAACTTGAAGTATCTAAGCAATTTCTCACTATCGTATATGAAAAGGTTTGTTTTACTTTGTTAGTTGAGACGAACACTATAAGAGGGATGGTGAATTGTATGTGAGTTCCTATTGACTACTTTTGCAGAATGAAAACAGAATATAAAAGGAAATTAGCAAAGCACACAGGATTTTACGAGGAAACCTTTCAGGACCCAATTGGAAGTAAAACCTCGACCTTCCAAGGGAGAGTTTGTCCTATTATAATTAGACATTTACTCACAAGTTCCAGTCTGAACTTTCTACACAGTAGAACCCTATTCTACCCAACCTAAGTCTCTGACTTAGATTCACTCGGTACTCCCTGAATGCTCTCACACTCAAATTTAATCTTGAAGCCTACAATCTGTATACAATACGCTTAACTCTCCCCCCAATACCAAAACAATACAAACTTTTGACTTTATTATGTGATTGGAAAGCTACACATGAAATCCGAGACTAATATGACAAAGTTTAGACTTGACAAACTTACACTTTCAAGCACTCTTCAGATTCTTCACGCATAAACTCACACCTTGTGCTAATTATGAATTCTCCCTTATATACAAGTTATACTCGTATGTAAAGTAGGGTTTTCAAAAGATAGAAATTACAAAACTGTCGTTTTCATAATCACACGTTTATGTAAATTTTTTTGGATGAAAATCTTTTTAGAAAACTTTTCAAAAATATAATTTATGAAAAGAATAATATTTTGTAAAACCGGATTTTATAAAATAAAATCTTTCAAAAATCTTTTCATAAAATTAAAACTTATCTTTTATAAACTTTTCATTTATAAAGCCTGTCAAGCTTTGTCACGCTTCTAATAAATTCCATGCATAAACTTTCCTAACACATTTACAATAATCCTTAGATAAATAAACTTAACAAAAAGACTTATATTCTCGAGCCGAATTATTTCATCATACGCTGTATTGTTAGGATACTTGGGCTTCACGCAGTCCAGGACTAAGTTTCTGCTGTGCTTCGTTCTCCAGCTCCTTGCTGGAACTTCGCAGGCCAAGTTCTTATAGAACTTGCTATATTCAACGCAAACCAAGTCAATCTTCTCAACTTGCTGTCAAGCTCCTATTAGGGAACTTCTCTTAGTGTTCCTGTTAGGGAACTCAGTTAGTTCCATTAAAGAACTCTTCTTGTACTTTCTTTAACTTTCCTTAGGATCTCCTTGAATCTTCATATGCAGGTTACTCTTCCACTTTTAAAGTCAACTTCACCTGTTCTAATCACAACACTTTGAGAAATCGCATTAGTTGAAGTTTGCTTTTATTCATTATCATCAAAACTCTTAAGCTTCAACATTCTTATACATTACTTCGATAATAATAATATACAAATGAACAAATCTGAACCTCTAGTTATGTAGCTCATCAATTTTGCATATACCACTTATATATAAATCTATTATTAAAACTTCAATTTAAATATTTTCAATCATAACCTAACAAAATGCTACCTCATGCATCGTCATCGATCTTATAACAGTTATAAGACAGGTGAGAACATGTATCAAGTGCGACCTTTCAAAATTAGCAACTATACTGTTTATACAACTAAATGAAGCTAATAAGAAAGTCAAGTTTCTCCAACTTGAATTATATTAAATCTTGGTTTAGATCTCATGTTATCAATCCTTGTCATTATCAATTGTTGTGTTGAGCTCACGTTTACTATACTCAAGTCTCATCCTTTTGACAATTAATTCATTCATGCATATCCAAAAAATGTATAATTTGCAATTGCTTTTCAACCAATCAACTTAATACCTAATATGAGCTATATTTTATGGAGTACCGTTGAACGTTAATTATAAATCCTTGCATATAGTAATAATGTAATATTGCCCCTTTATACATTAACTTATTTATGGGATAATATCTAATCAATGTCATAATAAAACAACTATTTGAGCATTTTTTTCTCCCAGAAAGGGAATTCTAAACCAATATAATCATCATACTAATAATCAATAGTCGTATCGATCTTGTTCTTAGTGTAGGGCATCTTGCTTTAATCTATTTTTCTTCTTTCTTTTTCATTACATTTCACCCATTCGTGCATTTTTAATTTATAACATGGTAGTCTAATCACATTTGTCTTGTTGTAACAAAACGCATATGAATTTGCTTTATAATTTATTTGCATTCACAATATGTATTTCCACGTAATAACTTACTACTATATGATAAAGTGTATTAATTTTTTTATAAATTGGCAAACATTGAAGAGACCTTTGTAGGGTCTAATATGTTCTCGAAAAGAAATGATATCTACTAAAAGAATACAGAAATCCTTTTTATTTCAGCTAATCATATCAATAAACATTGACCTCAAAACTAAAAAAGACAATGACATTATACATGATGTTGAACCTAAAAGCTATTGCCTTTTGGTTTACTCTTCTTAATTCATTTCCCACCATATGATATGAAAATATGCGTTACATCTTCTTCTTCCCTTAAATCCAACTATTAGTGGACAACATTCGGTTTATCAAATTAAAAACAAACGTTTGAAAATTAGCAAATTTCAAAGTTTTTGATATATAAACCAATTTTGTGCTTTAACTATCGGCTTAAATTTTTGGCTAAATTGCTCCTTTAACATGATATCAAGAGCTAGCACGACACAAAAGTCATTGGTTGTTCAAATCTCATCCACCCATCATTTTAATTAGATGGAATATATTAAGCAAGGTATAGCGAAATGTTGCATCCACATTCCAATCCCAATGAACTCTCATGTAAGGATGCGTAATAGAGTATATAAATTAATTCTTTGTCTTCTATTAAGTTTTTGATTGAGATGATCCTCTAACAGTTTTCCAATGATGTGTAAGGGATAAACAACGAATTTACCACTTTGCTCTTGGTTGATTGGAGTAAGTTGGTGAAAGTTTTGGAGACAGTTTGTCAATTTATCGTAACAAATTCACAATTATGATCAAACAATATCAGAAAGTGCAACCAAAGTAAAACTTATGTACCGAAAGTGACGAGGCGAAATATAGGGACAACTCAACACAACAAAAGTAAGAAATATTTGTGTTCTCCATTGTTATTGCTTTAAAATTGTATCACCAACATATATATCATATGATGTGCAATACGAGATGCGCACTGTTCGGTTCTTGGTAGACCAAGTTTATAATGGTGCTTACTTGGCATCCATTCAAAAGTAAAATGTAGGAAAAAAAGGTTAAGTTGATTGTGAGTTTTGCGCAAAACCCGGGAAACTATCATTCCTAGCATATAATCGATTTTCTCCTTTTTGTGTATGGTAGTTCCAATTAAGCGAATATTACCAATGAGTCTCAACTCTGAGTTAGAGAAAATAATCTATAATTAGTAAGCTTTGACATTTTAATATCACATAACCCTAAGACAAGTACCTAGCTATTTGTAAATCAAATAATTATCAACAATTGTTGACTAAAATTACAAGCTTAAGAAGATGAATAGGATCCCAATTTGCGAGAAATTATTTTAGTTAAAAAATAATTACTTGTTTGTAATCCAAGATGGATTGAACAACTTGGAACTCATCATCTTAGGTTTTATTTACTAAACAAGGGATTATGATGTTGTTCATGATAATTAAATGGTACATATATATCTCTCAAATTTTAATGAGATTGTTTTTTTATTTTTCAAGCCGGTGGAGGCCTAGTCTATGTTTGTAATTAATATAGAGTTAAGGTAATTTTTAGCATGTGTAGCTTTCTTAAGTCAAACATTATTACAATATAGTACGTTCAGAAACTATAACAATAATTTTTTAAAAATATTTTATTATTGTTTAGGAAAGACCAAACAAGCCTAGCTATATATTTGTCATCATGTACTCGTATAAAGTACCAAATTAGCGCAAAATTGGTGACATTAAGTTAAATGTAGCCACTCGAGCCATGTTAGTGTTCAACTGGCTTAGAGCCTTAGGGTATAGAAAACCATGCTCCAAAGGTTTTGAATGGCGGTACGTGGACATGCGTACGCGCGTAGCAAATTGTGTGATCAACTAGCTAGACCGTTACCTAAGGATCGGAGCACGATTTTCCATACACATACATGTGGTTAAATAAATTTTCAAGACCAATTGCGAATCTCATGCTCTTTGTCTACATTCCATGACCAAACAATTTCTGATGCATGAAATATATTACAATATTAACAATAATCTGTAGTACTCTGAATTTACTCCAACAACTATAATCGATGGATATTGGTTGAGATTCTAAACTAGTGGAAACATTGTAGATAAACTATTGGTATATGACAATTAGATAAGATATCTAGATATGGTATTTTATGTACCAATTCATCATCTAGCTAGCATATATCATATAAATTTGACTAAAATTTGTCTTGATATCAACATTTTCTTCCTAGAAGAGTGTACATTTTGACTATATATCATATTGCTTTCATTTCTTTCTTTCTCTTCCGAGAAGCATCTTTTTGAAAACATAATGTCCTTTGCATTATTGTTTCATTACTTGATACGCCACTAAAACATGTGGAAGATGAGTACATCTATGGCAAAATTAAAGAAGCAATGAGATGCCGAGAAAATAATCCTAAAATAATCTCACGACACTCAACAAATTAATTTCCTTTTCCCCTACTCGCGTCCCCACTACCTAAAGAGCTTTATACTTGGTTATAATGGAAAGCAAAACAACGACCTCTTGCGTGAAATTTATGTACAAACTAGTCCACTTCCGCTTACAAAAGATTCATTCGATCCCATAACTTAATTACTTCATAGTATTTCCGAATGAGCCAACCGCGATCTTCAAAAGATATCAATGATCTAGGAAACTTGTACAACATTTACTTAATCTCTGAAATGTAATAATTTACAAATAAAGTTGATCTCAATCAGTGGCGGACTGGACCTTGTGCCTGGTGGGTCAAATGACTCACCAGGGCCCAAAAAAAATTTTAAGTTTTTTTTTTTTTAAAAAAATAAAATAAAATAAAAATCTAACTTCAGGTCCCGACACTTCCTCAAGCCCTAGCCCACTGCCTCCTCAGCTGCTCTTCCCTCTTCGCCTCTTGACTTCCTCTTCGCTTCATCTTCACCAGACTGCCTCCACCCAGCCACCCTCCAGTCGCCTGCTCTGCCTCTGCTGCTTGCCTGCTTGATGCTTTCCTGCTCCGTCTCCGTGGTCACTGCTCTTCGCCTCTTCGCAATCGCTTCGACGCAATTGCTAATTCACTAGTAAGTTGATTTCTAATTTTTATTTTTAATTTCTTATCTTCAATTTAATTCAGTCTAATTAGTTAATTTTAATAAACTTTGGTTGATTTGTAGTTAACGCTTCCTCTTCGCTCATCGGCTCACGCCTCGTCGCCTCCAGTGCTGGCCCTGCTGCTCCGCCTACTCGCCTCAATCAGCGTCTGCCGTCTGGCAAGGTAATCATCAATTTATTCTTTTTTTTTTTGTGAATTTCTGATCAAATTTGCATTACTTGTTGCTTAAAATTAGTATATACGATGAATGTTCATTGAATTTGCATTATTTGTGTTTTGACTGTTAAATTGAACTTATTAGTTTATGTGATGCCGGACATTGTATAAGACAGCTATTAGTGTAAGGAGGATTATAAATTTATAATTAGATTACAGTGTGGACTGGTTAGTGGTGCTAGTCGCATATTCGGCTGGAAGTTCCGTATAGACTAGGCGGATTCAGGAATTGTAAAACATTGTGTCTGAATTGTGGTTACATAAACCTTAAATCATTCTTAAGTTTTTTCTTGTGATTGTTGCTGTGAATTGTTTAAACTGTTATTACACGGAGAACAGTAGTTAGGGTGTTTATTAGCTTGTTAGTTATTAGTTTGTTAATTTTAGTCTTGTAATTTCAGAATGAAGAGAAAACGCATTCCAAATAAAATGCAAAACATTACTAGCTTTTTTGCTAAAAAGAATCCTACTCCAACTTCTCTTCCACATCCAACACAAAATGAACAAACTATATCTCAACCTCAAGAAAGTGAACAACATTCATCTCCATCTCATTATTCAACTTAAAATTCCCCTCAAAATGAACAAGGCCAATGTTCTCCTAATGCCCCAATCTTTGATGAAAGATTAAGTGAACATGAATTTGCTAATCTTCCACAAGATCCAGGAAAGAGGAGAAAGATGAGTGAATTTCATAAAGATGATAGAGATTTAGTGAGAAGAATTTACATTCAAAGAAAGCCTTGTCAGCTCAAAGACTTTGTATTTCCTCAAACTTCTATTTTTGGCAAAAAACCGTCGCTTTTGTGCTAAGTGGTTTGGTACTTGGACTTGGCTTGAGTATAGTGTGGAAAAGGATGCTGCCTATCGGTTGTATTTTGTATTGTTTGAATATTTGGATGTATTTTTTAGTACTATTATTTGGTTGTTTGGTAAAATTTTTTTTTTACATATTTGATTATCGATTGTGACTCACCAGTCGGAAATTCCTGGGTCCGCCACTGATCTCAATGCATTTGATGTCATTATATCTCATATAACTACCACAGTATCTCATTATATTGCAACAATTTCAACTAGATTGTACTCCATGTAATAATATACATCATGTACAATAATTGAAAATTTTGCCGCCCATAGACGAACTAAAAATGACATTTCCACAAATGATATGAAATTGGAATTGGAATTGGAATCGACACGATTATTCACTCGAATTGATCATCACAAGAGATTGCACCTTTAAAAACAATCGAAAAGGAAAGGATGAATAATATTACAAATCTGATAGATTAATTTACAACAGACTCATATAACTTTGTTTCCTTGTATTAATTAGGAAAAACCCATCTCAATATCTTATCAAACTAGGATATAAATTGCAAAGCAATCTATCAATTTAACAATTAAAAATCTTGTTTTTCAATCATTAATCATGCACAAATCTCAAAGAGAAAGTATCAATCAACTTCCTCTATAATATATTTTTTTCCCTATGAATTTATACACCTCAAATGGACTAATAGTGTGTAATTAACCAATAAGATGAATTAAGTAGGTGAAGAACTCTCACACACTACCTCAGCATCCACCTCCTTCCTGTGGAAATTTCTGTGGCATCCACAAGCGGCACATATAAGCGCGTTGCTTGTTCCTTCTGCACCACTAGCCATGAACTCTCTGCACCCATCTACCGCGTAACCTCCTATACTCGCCGCATGATTCTTTTGACACTCGCAATATCGAATGGTTGAAGAATTGTTGTTTCTTCGCGATCCTTGATCTCTTTTAACCACCACTTGCCTCTTCTTCATCATCATAGAGTTTTTTTTGTGCTTACCCTCTTCTTCACTTTCTTACCTAAAGTATGCACAAAAAGAAGCATCAAATTTCAAGTAAGAGAAAAAATAGAAATAAAAGAGGGAAGTACTTGGAATATTTGTACAAAACCCTAACCCTAGATTGCATTTATATATAGAAAAGATGATATATGGAGAACTAAGAAGTCAAGTATGTTAAAACTAAAAAAGTGGCAGCTTTTTTTTTCTTTTTTTTTTTTTTTTCAATGCTTAAAATCATAAGCTTAAATACTTTACTTTTTTGAAGAGTACCCTAAGGACAAAATCCTATATGGGTAAGTCTTGCTTTGATCTCATGAGGGTGTGGATGCCGTAGAGAGCGCGGTACGATTCACAGCATCATCATCAGGGACCGGATGATTATAATGATATGATCTTAGAACAAGTGAGAAAAATGTGAAGAAAGGAACAAATAATAAAATGTGGGCTCATAAAAAATGGTTGAAACACTAGGTGAGGAGGACCATATACATCATTTCATGATTAATAAAAACCCTAGATAAGAGGAAATGATGATTTCAACTGCCCTACAATGGGGTCAAAAGAGGAAAAAGGAAAAGTTTGAAAGGTAAGAAATTTAAGGGTGACCCTATAATTTAAGGGTATGTATACCTTTACATTATGGGTACTCTAAAGACTTGGAATTTTGGTTGATTGGGTTAGATGAATGGCCTGTAAAGTTGGGCTTCTTACAAATATTGTTTAATTAAAAAAATGAAAGTGGGCCCAAGTTGGTACTAAAAAGAGAAGTCAAGATGGGCTGTGTCAACAACCCATTGTCTATTCCGTTGAGATTCTTTGATTTCTTTCATAGTTAGGAATAATGTTGACTATATATGTATAATAATAAAGTCTAAATTAATATAATTAATAATTAATAATGGATGATGTGGCCAAAATTTCCACCTCATTGTACAATCAGTCAATCATGCAAAGTTGTGACAAAATTGTTCTCGAATAAGAGAGAATATAAAGGCCTATTAACCTCCTATTGAGGTATAGCATAGCCCCACATTTATATGGCTTTTACTTGTGCAACCACAACCACTCTTGAGAATGAGTAATTGGTTTTTACTTTCAATTATTTTGACATCCCATATTTAGGCTTTGTTCTGAGGCCATTTTGGGTTGGAAATTTATGACTTTCTCTTCGTCTTTCAAGTACGGATTTTCACAATCTTAAATAATCAGCCTATCTTTTATGGCATTATTTGTTTAGTTACATTTAAAATCTTATAAACTATTTTTTTTAGTTAAGTTACAAGTATATCTGTTGTGGAATTTTATGATAATAGCACTACAACCATGAGTGTATGGGTTTAAGGGAATTATACCTCCATGATATCGGTATTGAGACGTGGTCCTATATAAACTTAAGTTCACAAAAGAAAAAACCTTAATCACTAAGCTTAGTAAAAGTATTCCGACTTTATACGTTTTCTTGTCATATATAGTACAAATTAGGCCTTATTTACCACTTGATTGCTATATTATTTACTTTGTCATTAGTTGGTACCAAATCTTCATCATGTTGTTTAACTTGTAATGATTCTAAAGGTCATTTAGCAAAACCTCTATAACTCTAAGTTGATCATTACAAGAAGATAAAATCCACATTTCTTTTTCCATCATCAAATTAAATCAAAGTGTCTCATCGATTATGACAAGAACAACTTTGTTGAGTAATTCGCAGGACTAATAGCATAACTTCTAAATTTAGTTAATACGTCAAATTCTATCCCACCTTTAGAACAAACAATCACGGCTACATTTATGTTTTCAAGGAAGTTAGGAAATAGAGTCACTATTCTCTAAATTATGAAGGCATTACAACCATAAATTTGAGAAATACCCCCAATAATAAAATGGCTGAAATGGATGAAGAATAAGTTACAATAGAGGTTTTTGGTCAGAATGGAATACTCAAGGTAAATCATACGATTGGGACAATATGACTATTAAGCAATTTCCATATTTGTATCAAAACACCAATTATTTGCCAATTCATGGGTCCATGGGATACACACACTATTAAGCAATTTTCATATTTGCATCAAAACACCAATGAATGGAGTTAGCCAGCTAGGTTGCTAGCCTACAATAGTTGAGAAAAATCTAACCTATTAACTACTAAGGCTAACCTTTTAATATCTCTTAACATTTCCTTAGTGCTTGTCTAGAAGAGCTCAAAGAGTTTGTAAATTAAGGGTGAAGTTTAGCAACAAGAATACCCTAGCTATATGTGTAGGATAATGGCTAAATTTTTCTCATTTAGAAGAAAAAAAATTCACTCTTGTGAAATTGTGTAAACATTTTAAATCCTAATCTAAAATTTACATGTATTGTAACCTGTAAGAAATAATGATTCGACTATTAATATATCAGTCATTTAGAACTTCTTTTTCTCTTACTCGTATTAAATTATCTAGAATTTTTATTAAATAAAAATATTGATGGTGGATCTACACACATTTATAATTTAAAAAGACAAAAAACATGGTAGAGTTTGGAACAAATCAACCAATGATATCTGTACAGATATATTGGGGCTTTTATAAAAATTGACAAATGATGGACAAGCCATCAATCATGATTAGCCGCCACCATGGTCTCCTAATAATTTTTAATCAACCTAAATCAAAGGGAATACATTGCAAATGCTGTGGGGGCGACAATTTTCTCCTTTCTAATTTATCTTTTATCTTTCCCAATAACTAGTTTTTAGTGGAATTAAATCACCAATTTTATAAAATAAAATTTAAATAGATACGCTGATTTAATTTGATCTTAATATGATATACTAGTATTTTGATGAAGTTACTTTTTATGTGGATTGCTTTGTTCATCTTTAAACTTTGTATACTGATTTCTCATTTGATGGCTTTAGTTGAAAAGGATACGGAGTTTCAATGAGAGTAATCATTGCACCCACTAGAAATTGTGACCAATCAAGCCTTATTTAACTTTAGTGTACATCAAATATATAGGGTTGTTAAAAATTAGTCCCGATTCCGATCAAGAATTAAATAAGATCATACTAAATAGACTCCAAATCGTATTGGAGAATTAGAAAAGATCGAACTGAATGAGTTTAGACTAGATTGGAGTGAAGAGACCAATTTATTCCCCAAGTAGAAATCTATAACATACCAATTGTCGTTTCAGTCTGCTCCATAGCATTTGAAAAAATGATCATGACTAACCTAGGTTATACTAGAAGAAAATGTTACATAAAAACTTCTACATTACTCTTCCAACAGGTTATATATATGCTATTAATTTATGTAAAGCATTAAACTAGCAGTTTTCTTTACATAACTATCTCCATATAAGTGATAACTAGCTATCTCCATCAATCTATCTATAATTGCATGCATATATAACTTTTATAAAACATGCTTGTCAATTCATACATATATAACTTTAATCAAAGATGTTCTAAGAGGTATATTATTGTTCATTTTATAAATTTTGCTCAAATGAAATCTTCAAATAAATAGACTGCTACAATCTCTAGATATATTTGTGTGCATAATAGAAATTCTAAATTATTTATACGAGATTTGAGTCGATCTATAGTTAAGTGGCAATTTTAATAGCTTTTTATTACATATAATAATAAGTACATCCGCAAGTAACGTTTTTGCATGTTCATGCAACTCACATAAAAACTTGCATTTCAAGTGGTATTCTAAGCTAGCTATCAAAGTATTCAAATATAAATATCCTAAACTATGGGCATTATTAATTTTAGCGAGAGGATGATCGACAAGATAAGAAGTATTGACAACAATGCGAGGCTGTTATTGGTAGATATTGAAAGCTAACGACTCATTGCTTCTCACCAACCGCACCTCAACTCGTGATAATATAATATTGTATATTCTAATTTATTTTGATTATGGAAACTTATTATATTAATCCTAACAAATCACACCCACTTCCCTTATTAATATTTTTTTTTTGGTTGATTTCTTTCTTGATCCTAGGTTATCACGTCTTAATTATGAGGCCAACCATAATTGTTCATTTGACTTGTGTTGATTAAATTATTAATTAGTTATCTAACTTATTTTATTTTCTATAATTGGTAACACTATAGACTAACAAATTGCTTCTTATTTCTTATAATGCCTGCAAATTTGTCTTTGTGATTTAAAGATAACTTAAAGAAACAATGTAGGGATCGAATATGAGCACGAGTTGTCTAGTATCCCATCAAATAAATACTTGTATATAAGTATTCTAGTTTGAACATATAAAGCCCAATATAGAACTTATTGGTAATAGACTTATAT